ACTTTCTTTTTGCTTAACAATTCTGTCTTTAAGTCATTTCTCTCTTCTCACATTTTACTATAAGCATTCAGGAGGAATCAAGCCACACCTTCAACACTTTGCTTAGAAATCTTTACAGCTACATACCTAATTTAATTTTTTGTACGTTCTACTTTTCACCAAACACTAGAACATGAACACAATTAAGCCAAGTTCTTTGCTGTTCTATAAGTCTCCTTGAGTTTTCAATAATATGTTCCTTATTTCTGTCTGAGACCTCATCAGAATGGCCTTTACTGTCCACATTTCCACCAACATTCTGTTCATTCATTGCTTTAGTATTATTTAAGAAGACTGAAGCTTTATCTACAGATTTCTTTTCTTTCTGAGGTCTCAGCAGAATTGTTTTTAATGGTCCATTCACAACAATGTGGGCTTTTTCTGGCTTGTACCTCAAAACTCTTCCAGCCTCTGCCCATTACCCAATTTCAAAGCTGCTTCCACATTTTTAGGTATTTTTCACAGCAGCACCTCAACTTTTTAGTATCAGTTTATTTCTTAGTCTATTTGTGATGCTATAACAAAAATACCATAGGCTGCTAATTCAGTTAGCAATAAACATTTAGTTCCCACAATTTTGGAGCCTGAAAGTCCAAGATCAAAGTGCCAGCAGATTTAGTGTCTGGTGCCTGCTTCCTGGTTCACAGTCATTTTCTTACTGTGTCCTCACATGGCTAAAGTGGTGAGAGAACTCTCTGAGGTCACTTTTGTGTGAGCACAAGTCACATTCATCAGGTCTCCATCCTTATGACCTTAACACCTCCCAAAGGCTCTACCATCACATTGAGGATTATGATATTAACATATGAATTTTGGGACACAGACATTCAATCCATAGCATTCTGCCTCATATTTTCAATGGGATTTCCTCTTTTGCCCAAATGCCTCTCCTTTATCCTTTGTCTGGGTACCTGCATCCACATGTATATATCATATGACTAGTTATCTCTTCTGGGAGACAGAATTATTAAGCAAAAAGGAAGCAGAACTAAACA